GGGTGTGGTGGTGGCACCTACAATCCCAGATACTTGGAAGACCGAGGCAGGAGAATCGCTTAAACCCAGGAGGTGGAGGTTGCAGTGAGCCAAGATCATGCCACTGCACTACAGCCTGGGCAACAGAGTGAGACTTAGCCTCAAAATCAATCAATAAATAAGATACGTAATGAACAGAAAAATATTTAACTCTATGGTGAAAAAATCTTTCAGGGGGCTCTTTAACTGATTTTTTTTTTCTTTTTTACCAGTAATTTCAGGATATCAAGTGAATGATTAACACCAACTGCACTAGGACGAATTTTTATGTGTTAATGCATAACACAGACAGACACAGCACCGCTACTGGACTATTACCCCCAAAAGTAAATTATAGTCTAAATTTAACCATAAAAAAAAATCAGTTCTATGCAAAGTTCAAGATAAAGATATATCTCATGTTTGCAATTTTCAATAGTCATTTTAGGTAGTCTTCCTTTAGCATTCTAGAGAGCAGGTATCTCCTAATAATGTTTTTCAGAACTTCTGGGTAATAAATGCTCTTCTGTTCAAGTAAGTAGTTTTCCCCTCCCCTCCGCTCCCCTACCCTCCCCTTTCTTTTCTTTTCTTTTCTTTCTTTTCTTTCTCTTTTTTCTTTTTTTGAGATGGAGTCTTGCTCTGTTGCCCAGGCTGGAGTGCTGTGGTACAATCTTGGCTCATTGCAACCTCCACCTCCTATGTTCAAGAAATTCTCCTGCCTCAGCCTTCTGAATAGCTGGGATTCCAAGCACATGCCATAAGGCCTAGCTAATTTTAAAAAATATTTTTAGTAGAGACAGGGTTTCACCATGTTGGCCAGGCTACTCTTGAACTCCTGACCTCAAGTGATCTGCCTGCTTTGGCCTCCCAAAGTGCTGGAATTACAGGCATGAACTACCGCACACAGTCATATAAGTGTGTTCTTAAGCCTGTTCTGCATAGAGCTGATGGAGAACACAAATAAAACCTCAATATTACATGTTCTGTATCCCTATTAAGAACCCCAGCTTTCCCCCAATAGCAATCTTGAGTGTCCACACCATTTCATGTTCAACAGCCACAAAAAGAACATTTTCAATATTGCAGATCACACATTTATGGTGATATTTCTGCATGACATATAAGAAAATTAGATGTAGGCCGGGCGTGGTGGCTCAAGCCTGTAATCCCAGCACTTTGGGAGGCCGAGGTGGGTGGATCACGAGGTCAAGAGATCGAGACCATCCTGGTCAACATGGTGAAACCCCGTCTCTACTA